AAAGGATTAATGATTAGAGTGTTTAAATAGATAACTTACAGGCAGATTGCAGGTATAGCAGCATAGTGTAGAACTAACAGATAGTCAATTATTTGTATAGCGAACTACTTAAATTAGACAATGACTAAAGTTGTATATGTAGCTTGTTGTATACTCATCATATAACTATAAAACTTTAGAAAACTATTCATGTAATAGTTCTATAATAACAAACTAATAAATCTAATCAGCTAAGGAAGTGGCCTTAATAACAAAAAAAAAACAAAGAAGTTGTTAATACCTATTGATATTTTTACCAGTATTTTATTCGCAAATAGCAGATATCAAATCTCATTTATTTTCTTTTTATCAAAAATGCCTATTTTAAACTCTACCTTTGCTCTTGTTTTGTCTGAAGCATTTTTAATCATTTTAATATGTTCTACTCTTCCTAGAAAGTAAACTATTTTGAACACCTGTGTTCTTTTAGCTTAAACTAGCAGGTCCTAAACTGTAATTTTATTGTTATCCTCTATTAAGTTTAGGTTTTTGCTAGCTTGATATGTTGTAGTTTTTTTCTTTTTAAGAAGGTCTCATTTATGTATATTGGTTTTTACTTTCTTTTTTCTTTTTATAAAAACTTCTTTGAGTTTTTTTTCTGCTTGCACTTCTCTTTTTCTTTTTGTTTTTTGGCTTTCTTGAGCTGAGTTTCTTGTGTCTTAATTTTCTGCTATTTTATTCAATTCTTCTTGTTCTTCGTTTTTCTTTAGGAGGAGATTAGCTTGTTCATATTCTTCTTTTTTGTTTTTTAATTTTTTCTTTGCCTCTTCATAGCCTTTAATACAGTCAAAGGTCACTATACACTAGAGATTACTGTGTTTAAACTTTTTTAAAATTTCTTTCAGATGAACATTTCTTCCCATTGACTATCTAAATAATCTTTTTCTATGTTTCTCATTGTTCTTTAAAACTTTAATAGCTACTACTTTAGCTCTTATTATTCTTTTTCTTTCGCATCTATCTTTGTTTGATACCTAGATATTTTTTTCTAATGACAAGTCTGATTCTGCAGAGAGTAAATCATCTTCTGATTCTTCTGTAGTAATATACTATTGTTCTGTATTTGTTGTACTATTTTCTTCTTCTTTAGTTTCTTAGACTTCTTCTATTTGGCTTAGTCATTCTTCGATTTTTCTATCTTCTGGTAGTTGAATTCCTTCTACTTCTATTTTTTTAGTTTGTCATGTTACTAGCTATACTACTTGAATCTGATTGATATATTATCTCTATATCTGATTTGCTTTTTTGTACTCTTGATTCATTATTTGCTACTACTTTGTAATTGACTTCTTAACCTAGTATACTCTTTACTTTATCGATTTTTTCTGTTATTGCTACTTTTTCTATAACTTTCTTTTACTCTCTTGCTACTGTTACTATATCACTATTTACTTCTAATATTTCTGCTATCATTTTATCTATATGATCTTCTAGATCTATTACTGATTTGCTACCTTCTGCTATTATTTCCTTGTCATATTCTTTGGTTACTACTTCTATAAGTCTAATTACTTTCTTTCTGTTCTACATATCTATTTAATTTTGATCTGTAGTTGCTAGCTTTGTCTATACTCTATACTTTATTTATTAATTACTCTCTTTAATTAGATTCTTTAGATGCTGTTTCTAGAAGTGACTTCATCTTTTTTTGAAATTTCCTGTAGGTTTATCCAGTTTGCCTATAAACTGTCTGGTTCTAGTCTTGTGTAATTTATCTCTGCTTTCTAATATATAATACATATTTTAGTAATGTATTTGTTTGTTTACCTATTTTGCATATATTTGTATTATATAATTAATCTGCATTTCATAATATTTTGAGATTCTCAGTTTTGTTTGCAAAAAAGTTTTCTTCATAATAATTTTTACCTAAACTTCTTCTAGATTACTTTTTAAGTTTGAGTTTTTCTACTCTTCTACTTTTTTATATGTAATTTTGCTTTCTTTATTTCTTTTCTTAATATGTTAAAAGGTATTAATTAGTGAATTTAGTAGTTTTTCTATATAGTAATCTTTAGCTTGATTTTGTAACTAGATGATCTACAGAAAGAGTTTTCTTTAGATAATATTATCTATTAGAATTACCTATCTTTAAAAATTATATAAATTCTTTAAAATACATTGTATATTCTATTAATGTTTCTCATATTGACAAATTTTTAATAATAAATAAACACCATATAATAATCTTTTAATTTCAATAGTGATTTATCCTTTTCTATATGAATTCTATTTAAATACTACTAAATATAGCTTTAGCTTTTTTTTTTTTTTTTAGCAGATTCATTATAATAAATATACTCATTTTAAAAATCACTATATTTGCAAATTTTTAAAATATATTTAGTTTCAATATTTAGATAATCCTTTTTTATTTAATATTTAATACAAAAAAAAAAATAATCTATATAGTTAATTCTCTTTCATCGACTATACTAACTGCTAGTTATATAGTTTAATATTTTCATTAGAATCAAAATCAAATAAATATCATATTCATTTAAATATATTTATCTTAATAGCTTATTTATTAAGTTATTAAAAATGTATATGCAGTAATATAAACCTATAACTTCTTTGAGAAGATATATTATTTAAAATATTCTTACTTGAATCAATATTATAAACTTGTAGCAGATTTAGTGCTTGTTGTAGAATAACTTAATTCATTTAGGTTATAGCAAGCTTTATTATTATAAAACAAAAAATAAATAACATTATATCTTAAATAATTTCTGCTAACAAAATAATTACATAATCTTTTAATACTTATATTTCAGAAAATTCTTCAGAATCTGCTACAAATTTACAAGAAGCAGTTTCACATTGAAAGATACAATCATTCTCTTTTAGCTCTGTTTGTGACTAACTAAAAATAACTTTATAAGAACTTTTATTATCTATAAATAAAATATAAGCTATAGTTTTTAATTTTGGATCCTATTAAACATTCTAATAATTATAATTAACCAATTGTTTTAACCTTTGTTCTCTGGTCTCACTTTGAAATGAACAAGAATATTTTCATTACATAGGACTATATCAAAAAGAAGGCTCATTTTTAAAAAAGTAAACAAATATATTTTCTGAAAAAGCATTAATAGAAACTTGTTTTGTGCTAATTGAATGCCTATTCATTTTTTGATAAGAACTATAAATGCATCCTGATAAAACATGATTTGCTCAAGAGAAGTTAAATAAGTGAATAACAGTGAGGTATAATTTTGTTATTTCGATGCTTAATTCTTTTATAAATTACAAGCTCTTTTCGATTAAAAAAGATTTCTTGGCAAAGTGAGCATTTACTAGTCATTGAAAAAGTTCTATTGATATTAAATTTGTTAACGCATATAACACATCGATATAAATTTTTTATTATGATTATCAAAAATTTTTATTGGTTATTCTATTTTTAGATATCACGCACATCACATTCAAATTCAGGTGACATATTCGAATTCTGAAAATCCGCCCATATGTTCACATCTTTTTGCAAAGCGCAATAATTTGATTGGTTAATCATGATCCAAAGGAAATTGAAATATTTACACCATATTATTTATCATGATGAAATCGGATTAAAATGAAATTTGGGGTTTCCTTGCGTTCTCTTTAAAGCCTATAAAACCTACTTATACTTTTTATTAATAACCCTAACCCTAAATCCTAACCCTAAAAAAATCCCAAAATATTGTACTTCAAAATTTTTTAAAATTTCATATTAAAATTATAAAAATTTCAATTTAATCTGCCACACGGATCGAAATCAATTTATAATCAGCTTTAATTTTATATAATACCAAACAATATTTGCTTTTACTCTTTATTAGAGTTTATCTCTACATAACTAATTTTAATTTATACGCGCTATTTTTATTTCAGTTGTGTAAATAGCGGTAGGAATGGAATACTATATTTGGGGGGTCCGTTCGTTTACACATAGATCTACGTATTGCGTAAGTTCCATTCTTGATATCTATATATAAATAAAACTACTAACTGCATCAAAAAAACTAGCCCCGGCTTTAGACGATCTTGTCACGTAGACTAATTTCTGATATGATTTTGCAAACCCCAAAAAGGAAATTTTCGAAGCAGATTATAAGATTAGATAACGTTGGTGTACGTAATATGAAGGCTATTTTTAAATATTGCCTAAGAACCATATTTGATCCCTAAGAACCATATTTGGTCACCGATACGTATTCATTTCAGCACCGATAAGCTTACTTTACTTTACAGACAACCAATTTACAAACTAGTCATTTTGTAGACAACTTATTTCACAGATAGCTCATTTCACAGACAAAAACACTAACCCTAATTCTAGTAACAACGATGTCTGAAATCAGATGTTTGTGAAATAAGATGCCGATGAGCTTGTCGGTGAATTAATTGTCTGTGAGCGAGCCGCACCATCATATATTTGATGTTATAATAAAAATTACTTGTAAAATTTTAGAATAAGTTATGCTCCTAAACCTAGATTTGTATCTTTCATATTTAAATTTCAAGATCAGATGTAACACAAAGGCTTTCCTTGCTAAATTTTGGTATTATGCAAATTTTTTAGCAAATTTCAATTTTTAAATTATGTTAATATTTTAAGAAATAAAAATTTCAAAGTTTTCTAAAGTAAATAATATTTGCTTTCTATAATTATTTGACTTTCTAAAAATATAAATGTTCTCAAATAAGTAAACATTTTTTTGAATTGTAATATTCTCAAAAATATTTTTTATTTTTTTGAGAACAATAAGAACTTTGAATTTAAATAGCGGTTGGTAGTATTGCTTGCTATAAATATTAATTTGTAGGGTTGCTAAATTTTATATTTAAAAAATTAAAAATGTTGCAAATTACAAAAATGTCATAATGTATGATATAGTTAAATTTAAACTATACGCATAATCCACATTACATAACATTAATTTTACTATTCATTTTATCAATAACGATAATTACATAGACTTTCGATCTTGCGACTCTGCGATCTTACATTTTTTTTGCAGCAAAAAGGGTGTCTTAAAGGTCGCAAATAAGCCGAAAAATATGCAAAGTTGCGACTTTGCAGCAGGCAACTCTACTGGTTGGTAACGCTAGAGTCCTAAGTGGGTGAATATTTTGAGATACTGTATGCAGACAACTCTAAGATATAATTAAGACGCACCAACATTGCGAAACCTACAAAGGGAAACCAACTCCGTGAGGCATACAAAATTGGTCTCGAATTCACGCATTAACATAGATATGGGAAGTCTACTCTCTTAAATATGAAAGATTTTTATTTATTTTATTATATAAAATATAAAATTAATTGGAAAGAATAATTTGTGTATTTTTAGTAATCGTCATTCGTCATCATCATCATCATTATCATCATCATCCTCATCATCTTCATCAATATCACCACTTGAATATTTCAGAAGTTTTTCTCTCAAATTTTCTGGACTTGCACCAATTACATCACCACCTATGATGGGCTTTCCAGATTTGAAAAATCTAAAAGTAGGAAGGGATGTGATTTTTTGTTCTGCTGAAATTTCCTTTTTATATACAATAAAAATAAGGTTAATAAAATTTCGTTAAAGAACAAAAGTTTCGTCATAAATTATAAAAGGCATTTTATAATTACTTCTTGTTCGTCAGTGTTTACTTTAAGAAAAATGACTTCACCGAATTCCTTTGAGAATTCCTCAAACTTGGGTGCTATAATTTTACAAGGGCCGCACCAATCTGCCCAAAAATCTACTACAACCTTATTATATAAGTGCTATATGTTACTATTTTTCTTTCTTTTTTTGTGTTATTATCAATAATTACTTACAAGTTGATCACCAGCCTTTTCCAATTTATTTTTAAAATCATCAAGGTTTTGAATGTTAATAGGCATATTTTTTTTGACTTTTAATTTTCACGCAAAATTTAAGCTTATTTATTTATGTTTTATCCAATAATATATTTTAAACCAGAACGTGAGATTGCATAATATTAATATATCGTAAATAGTATTATAACACAAGTTTTCATTGTTACAATCAGGACGAGTACGACAGAAATACAGTGCTAAAAAAAGAGGTTACACTTATCGTTATTGTGAATTAATCAAGGCGTAAATTTTCAATAGAAACAATATTTAATATAATATTTTAGAGTAAATCTTTAAATTATAAATAAAATTTTCAATTTTTAATACGTATTGCTTAAAAAAATATATATATTAAGAGAAAGTTATTAAAAATTTATTAAAATAAACCTATCAAAGTTTTTTAACAAGTTACAAAGAAATAAAAACAAATATTTAAATTAAAATTTTAATATGTTTAAATTATTTAGTAAGCAAAATTTTAAAAAAAGTTTCAATATTTATTGTATTATTACTTTGTTATTATATAAACTTAAAAACTAAAATATTAAAAAGCAAAAAAATAAAAATAAAAACATGTTTATTTAAAACTATATAAGTTTTATTTAGTATAGATATATATTTAAAAATTCTTTATTTTAATAAAAACTATAGTATATAATATTTATATTTTCTTAAGAGTTTTTATATTTAATCTTTTTTTTTAATTCTAATAAATATTTATTTAAAATATTTATATGTGAATATTCTATTTCTATAGATTTTAAATTCTACTGTATTTTAATATTTTTTTTATTTTTTATAATATTTAGTATTTTTTTTTATTTATTACGTATAATGTTAATATAGAAAAAAATGTTTTAGTACAATTTAAATATTAATATGATACTATTTATAACTAAGATTTTTCTTTTTTCCTCTTACTCTTTCTCTCTCTCACTCACCCCACTCACTCTCTCTTTTCTCACACTCTCTAATTATCATTCTAACACATACAATAAAATCTTAAATAATTTGCATATACCTAAATTTGATAAATTAATCAGTATGTCTTTCTAAAATTTACCTAAACAATCATGTAAAATCGCTAAATCTCACACTAAATTCTTGAGACTTATTGCTAGAACATCAATAACTTGAGATTCTACGACTCAGTCTGAGCAAACAACAATGAGGTCTGAGCAAACAACTGAATCTCGTGAAACAACAACTAGTAAAACTCAAGAAGGTTTAAAATCTATAAGATAAATTCGTATTATTTGGTATATTATATATTTATAGCAATTAATTTAGTTTTTATTTAAAATAATTTAAGTAAATATTTTGAACTTTCTAATAAGTTTAATGAATAAATTGGATGCTATGGAGGCTAAAATTGATAATATTGAACAAAGATTGTCCAATAAATTAAACCACTTTGAAAACTGTCTTGAAAACTACATTGAACAAAAATTTAATGAAATTGATGATAGAATTACAAAAATATATAACCTAACAAATGAGACCAATTTCATTAAAGTAAGTTGTATTTTATATATTAATTCTTATAATAAATTTATTAA